GCAAAATGATGTAAAAATAAACTTTGTAATAAAAAAAAAAATACTGTCATTCTCCTACCTAACTTATGCTCTGGAGAAAGGACTACTAAGAAAATCTTTAAAAATGCACATCTTTCCTTTTCTTTTTCTTTTAACTGAGATAAAATTGACACAAACATGATATTAGTTCAGGTATAGTACACAATGTAGTGATTTGATATGTGTGTGTGTGTGTGCACATATGTGCATACATATACATATTCCCTTTTATAAACCTTTAATTTTTCAACATAGATACAAAGAAGGAGGAACTGAAGAAATTAAGAGAAAAGAAAATGGATAGAAGAGGAGAGGTTGCCATTCAGATAGTGAGAAGAAAGCAAATAAATTAACAGAGGTTTCAGTGCTTGATTCATGGAATACAAGAAGGAGCCGAAATGGACCCAAATGAAAGAGTGAATATTTTATTAAGCAGCAGCATGGATTTCTAGGATACAATTTGGAAATGAGTAATCCAGCAAATAAATTTTTGAAAGGAGGGAAATATAGCAGTACTAACACTATTCTCATTTCCTAATACATTTTAGTGACACTGAGAAATTCCTTTTAAGCATAAAACAAAATAAACAAAGTAGTTTAAATTGGTTTTGAAAAGGTCTTTAAAAATTTTTTTTTTTTAAAAAACCAAGGCTATTTTAAGGCATAATTTTAATCATTAAAAATGAAGTGGGGGCCCTCCCTGGTGGCACAGCGGGTTAAAGCACAGCACTAAGAAGCTAAAGCCGCTTCTGCAAGAGTTCGATTCCCGCCTGCCCCGGAGGAGACCACATGGCGTGGTCCACTGACCCGCCCACTGCTCCCCTCAGCAGTGTACTTCGTCGATCTGCCTGTTCTCCCCACTCTGTCTCTGGTGAAGCCTCTCACCACCCCTGAGCCTCTGGCCTGTACCCCAGTTCTGTATGCACAAATAAATAAATAAATCTTTAAAAAAAAAATAAAGTTTCATTGCCTGCTGGACAGAGCAGTACCCCGTGTCTGATTTCCTTCACTGCCACGTCCCAGGTCCTGGACTCACTAGAAGTACACAACAGTTTTCTTGATTTCTTTTTCTTCAGATTAATTGTTGCCATATTGGAAGGCTTCTGACTTTGTGTGTTGATTTTGTATCCTTCTACTTTACTAAACTGATTGATTATTTTGATTAATTTGTCTGTGAAGTTAGGCTGAGTTTAAATCATCCCTGGAAGCTGGAGTTTGCACGTTTGGGGAAAGCTCTGTTCACAGAAGTTGCTGGGAGTAGACCCTGCTCATAGCTTCTTATGCCATCTTAATTCCAGTAGCTAAGACTCCAGAGAGGTCTGAGAGAAATCTACAATGGAAGCAGTGCAGTCTACAGCCCCAGAAGAACATCCATCTGCGACCACCGTTGGGACCACTGCCTGTCCATAGCCTGAGACCACTCTGGTTGCTTTGTTCTTGCAACAGAAAAATTCAGGTGGCAGAAGCTGCCGTGATCAGAGCTTGACCGCAGCTGCGGGGGTTAGCATTAGTGAAGTTGCAGAAAAAACTCTGAATGAGGAACTGGCCTTGAGAAGGTACTTACAAATCAACTCAGAGGCCCATAGAGAGGTCTGAGCTTGGCATTCCCTAGCAGCAACTTTCTGGTTGCCCCAGCACCTACCCTGCGCCAACACTAGACTAGAGCTCCAGTTACCCAAACAGGTGCAGCGACTTCAGTCTACAAAGCAGTAGCTACCCAGTGTCCTGAGCTGACAACCTAAGACTATATTCTGTCACCTATACTCTTAATAGAAGGGATCCACATCAAACACGGAAAGAGATATTTAGCTCAGCTCATAGTAATCGAGTGCATATCAAACAAAATGAAGAAACAGGGTTATATCCCAAACACTGGAATGAAAGAAGGCCTCAGGGAAAATCTTAGTACACAGAATTAGAAAAATGACCAGAAGACAAATTCAAAGTCGTAGTCCTAGTCACTCACACTACAGTTAGGAGAATAATAGTGGATAAAATGAGAACTGTAACAAGACAAGAGAAAATTTCTAACAGAATTAACAACCCAAAGCATACAATAGCTGGTTCCAAACATTAAATGAAGTTTGGGCTTTTTATTTTAGCCACTACTTCATTCCCACTACTGCTCTAGGTAAAAATAGTATCTAGTTAGTCAATCACATCATATGCTTACATGATTTAAAATGATCATAAACCTTACCTCCTCATATGCATCTATATCGATATACACATCCGTATCAGGAAGCTGCCCAAGGACTTTGTAGCTTGGACTGAAGATAGAGAGTGTGTTAAAATATTATTGTGTTGAGGGTCCTCCCTGGTGGTGCAGCGGGTTAGGATGCAGCACTGCAAGCTAGTGCAGCCACCTCAGTGCAAGTTTGATCCCTAGCCATGGACTTGACCACATGGTGTGGAAGATCTCTCCTGACCCGCCTGCTGCTCCCCTCAGGAGTGTACTTCCTCAATCTGCCTGTTCTGCTCCCTACTCTGTCTCTGGTGAATCCTCTCACCGCCCTGCACCTCTGGCTTGTACCCCAGGTCTGAATGCATAAATAAACAAATAAATCTTTCCAATTTTAGTATATGTGCTGCCGAAGCGAGCACTAAACAAATAAATCTTAAAAAAAAAAAAAATATTATTGTGTTGAGGTGCAGTATGTGATTAACATGACGTTTTATGCATTTATATGTCATATATGACATAACTAGTGAAGTCAGTAAGTAATACTTGATCTTTATACAGTTTCTTTGCAGAAAGGATCCACATATGTCACATACTCAGTGTCATTCTAAACGTCACATATCCTCATGCTCCCCACTGACACCCTACCCCATAAAACACATGTATAGCAATACACTTCATACCACACGGACCATATACATTCACACTATACACCACATACTTTTTACATACACAATATGCATATACCATACATAACACACCATATAACCTACATACATAGCATACAATCATTTGGATCAGAACAAAAGACTTAAGCATTTAAAAACAGAAAGAAAACTGTACAGATTTCAAGTCACTCCAGGCATACGGAACTCAAGTTCTCATACCATTCAATGGTAGAATTATGTTCCTTTGTGTTTCTAGTAAGTGTCTAACTCATGTTGACTGAGTTCAACTGAGAACATGGGAAGAAAACAAAAACTCTCAAATTTACATAGCTTTCCTAAGATTTTAACAGATTTTAAACATTTTTGAGAACTCCAGTTCCTCTTTCTTTAACAGGACAATCAGATTCAAATTAGACTCCCATATGTAATTAAGGGTGACAAACATAATTGTGACTAAAAAAAAAAAATTAACATTTACATCATTTTTTTTATAAGGAAAACGCTCACTTTATACTGGAAAGTGGGGAAAATTTTATTGTTCTGCAGAAAATATCAATATGCCCATTAAGTAGCCTATGACATGCCACAGTAAAAATTTTATGAATCATCATGTGATTTGCAATTACAGCAAAACCAAATTAATCTCATTTCCTTATTGGGTGAAAAGTGTGGGCCCAGCACAGCACAAGGCTCTTTGCACACATTATTCTCATTTGGACCTTACTGCAACTCTTTGAGGTAGTAAGTGTTAGTCCCATTATGTAAAAGCAGAGAATGAGGCCCTAAGAGATTACAGCCACATTTTGTGAGGCCTATAGCTAAGACTGAATGCCAGAGTTGCTGACTCTATAAAGTTAGGCAATTTCTACACAAACACAATGCTTTTTTTTTTTAATGGTGATTTCTTAATTTATCATGAAATCATTAATTTTTAAAAGGTTACTCTACACCTTCCTCAGATTCCTATTGGGGGAAGAGATGACAAACAGTAACATTTAAAGAATAACTAAAGACCTGTTTATGATAACATGGCATTGGAGTCATCAAAACCCATATAATACCCAGCACCAAAGCAAGTTGCAGGAACATACTGTTCATTTAAAAATGCTTATGTAAGTCTCTGAGCCACTGGGTCCCAAATGGCAGTAACAGTGAAGGAAATTAGGCTCTTTTAAACAATGTCATTGATGAAAAGTCCACATTGTAATCTCAGGTGGGATCCCCACACCCAGCCCAGTCTGTGTGCTTACCTCTGTGTCCTGTAAATCACAGTCAACAGTGCAATGATCACAGCCGTAATCAAACCATAGTCCAATCCCAGGAACAAAGAGGAAACAAAAGTGGTCAGCCAGATGGTCTAAGCAAAAAACAGAAAGCTTCATGTAGAATCCTGTTAAAAATTGCCTGAGAGTTAAAACTCACACGCACAAGCTACCATTACATGTTTAATTGGCTACTACATATAACAACTAGCCACTAACTCTTCTTTCTCACATATTTATCAGCGGGAATCAGTGTGTTGCTATGACATATTCACCTATCACCTTTTTTACTTACCAGCTCTATTTTGCTGGTTCTCCAGAAAAAGGGGAGATCAGAGAATTGCATGAACATTCCTTTCAGGTTGACGATCACAATGGCCGACAGCACAGCCTGAAACACAGGACATCTGTACATGCTCCTCTTCTTGTGTCCAAAGAGTCCCACTTGCTGGCTCCTCACTGTCCTGCTCCCCTCCCCACGCCTCTCTCCACTCACTGCCTACACAGTAGTGATGGTATGTTTGGAGCCATGAACACCTGCATGCTCAGCTTGGTTAGCTAACATGGGCCTTATATCCTAGTAGCAAACCGGCATGGTGCTCAAGTGGTTCAGAATTAAACTTGGTACTCAATGAATTATTTCAGCGTCCTATATCATGATTGTCTCTATTCTAAACTGTCTTGATACGTACTATGAAAATGTCAGTAAACAAATGCCTTATCAGTGTATTTCAGATTCTTGATGAAAGTATAAAGACACAGAAGATCAAAGAGCGACGAGAGGCCTTAGAGATCAGCTAGTCCAAACCCCCACTTTACAAGTAAGGAAACTGAGACTCAGGGAAGTTAAGGTGGCTTTCCCAAGGCCCTTTTGGGGCAGGTGCCAGTAGACTGAGGAGCAGGTTCGTGGTTCTAGCTTTGACTCTTTCTTATACCACCCTACTAGTGTTACTTGAAAAAACCAAGAGATAGCCACAAAAATATAAACAAAATCGCTACACATGAAAAAACCTCACACCAAGTCCAAGCTACACACCTGGGGTAATGATTCAAAAAGGAATCCGGTGGCTAATATGACCAGCAGAATCATTAACGAGGCCAAACATCCTGCAAGCTGGATGAGAAAAGACACATGGAAGGGGCTTTAGACGACTTGATTAACTGGAGGAGCATAACTAGGTATTTTGATTATCACTGTGGAAAGATCAAGAAAATATGGATTCCAGGTCTCCCTGGTGGTACAGGGGTTAGAGTCTCAGCACTAACAAGCTATCTGCAGCCACTGCAGGGCAAGTTTGATCCTCGTCCAGGGAGGTGACCCACATTACACAGCAGACCTCTCCTGTCTCACCCACTGCTTCCTTCTGCAGTGGATTTCAGTAGATCTGTCTGTTCTGCTCCCCACTCTGTCTCTGGTGAATCCTCTCACCCCCCCCCACCCCTATGGCCTATACCTCAGTTCTTGAATGTATAATTAAATACATCTTTTCTTTAAAAAAGAAAATATGGACTCCAATAAGTCATCCAAACCTTTACATCTATACTCCTTTCCACCGCCTTTCTATGCCCTTGCTGCAGGTGGGGAAGAGAGACGTCTGGTGCTGAAATCCCAAGAGTAAGAAAAAGACTCTGATGTCCAATGTGGTAGCCACTAGCCACATGTGGCTGTATTTTAAAAAAAGTTATTTATTTTGTTTATTTGTTTGCACTAACCATACTTCACAGGCATAAGTGCCTCATGTTGCTAGTAGCTACCATATTGGATGGTGCAAATATTGAATATTTTCCTCATTGCAGTAAGTTCTATTCAATACTACTGGCATCCTGACTGATACTCAGTCTCAGGTTTTCATGACAACATCTTATGATGAACTTTGAGGTTTACTGTTTTTAGGGAGTGTTGTATAATTTCCCAATATAATTGGAGGATATGTCCCTTTCATATAGTTTCAGTTCCCTGTAATTCACTTCAACCAATCATGCCTTTCTCTTATTTACCACGAGGCTCACTGGAGCATGGATCTTCAGTCAGTTCAGCTTTCAGTGTTATGAATGGAATCAAGGGATTAAAGTTTAATTCCCCAAATCTCTACTCTTTGCAAGCCAGTTGTATACATACCTGAGTCTTCCCTCCGGTTCCCTCCTGAACAAGGCTTCGAGATAAGGAGCATGAAATTGAAAAAGTCTGGAAGAGTGAGCCAATAGAATTGCACAGTCCTAGCGCAATGAGTTCCTTTCCCATATGGAAACAAAGAACAAACCAGATCAGTTATTCCTCAATAAGATGATGGCTCACTGAATATACTTTTTCAGCGTATACATTGTCACTATTTCTCATTTTAGATACACACATTTGTTTAACATGAATTCAAACCAGGAATTATTTTATAATTTAAGTTGAAAAAACAATTTGAATTTTTGTTGTTGTAGATAAATGTTACATTTACCACTCAGCTCTCTGTTTCTCATAATCTTTACATAAACAATGCCCTTAAAAAAGAAAAAGACACTTGCAGCAAAAGGGACAAAAAAGTTTTGCTGTTTAAGAGGAAGTTTTTGGTGGACTATTGGCACCCTTCAAATGCCAGGGGTCTTGCTCACCAATGAGTAAATGCCAGTGACTGCCTGGGACAGTGAGTGAGCCCTGTTTCAAGCTATCTCAGGTTTTCCTCATTGTATCAGAATGTCTCTTATGAATGCAGGGCATCTAGTCTCCTCTTACAAATATAAAGCATGTTTTGACATTGTCTTGTCAAAATTATAGCTAACAGTAATTGGATTAAACACCCTATCTATTGCTACAATACAAAAGAAGGTAGCAAAGAGAGTATTGTAGTTTGAACGACACACTCAAGCCTTAATGAACAAAGAGAAGACTTCTTGTAGAGTAAAAATGCTCTGGAAAGATATTTATTCTCAGTCTGTAAGCTGAAAATGGGGATAGCATCTACAGGAGTCTGGCAAACCTCAAGCCTCAGATTGTAGATTTCACCTTTCTCGCTGGAGCCCTGTCCATGGGTGCATTAGGACCCTAACCTCAGGATTCTATTTCATACACATAAATCACTGAAAATGTGTAGTGTTGAATAAACACAGGCTTCAAACTAAATCTTTTTCTACTAAGACCAGGAGACCCAGCTCATTTGCCTTCCAAAACAGAACATGATGACTGTATTACTAAGAAATATCTGCAGAAAACTGACTTTTACCTGATTGCCATCAACCTGGTAGCCATGTTTATTTGCCAAGGTCTTGGCCATTGAGATGGTCACTGAAAATCCAACGATGGCTATAGCAATGGCATCCACATATACAAGGTGGAAGAGGCTGGTGTCCGGATTGGCTGGAGGTAGCAGCCTGGAAGGTCAACTTGACTTTAGTCTGAGTGGTGTGACCACTGGGGGAAAAAATGCAACTAAAGGGAGTATTTCAGAGGGGTATTATATGCAACTACATTGCGATAATTGTCTGCTCTGGTTTGTCAGACAGGAATGCTCTCTTTCCTCCTTCCCATGTTCCTCCTGCAGAGTGGTGGTTTTCTAACAAATGGTTACAAGCAGGGGTTGGATGCCATTTTGTTTACAAAATGAGTACCCTCATACCTTATGGCACCCCAAGTGGCAGGTGTAACTAAGATACAGGACAGGAAGAAGAGAGGGTCAGCGAAGTGCTCAGGTGCCACAAGACATTTGAACCAAGACTATGGACAAGGAGAGTGTTGACAAGGGTCATCTTACCAGAGGCTTAGTGTAGGGGCAGCAGTAGGTACCCACTGCTCTCCCCTGTTGTTTCAGGTAGGGATTCAGTTCATTAATTCTTCCTGTGCTCCCTTGAGTTTCTAACATGGGAAAAGAGCAGCAGATTTTAGTGTTTGGGTCTTACCTGACACTCTGGGAACCTGAAGAGGCAAGAAGTGGGATTCCTGGAGTTCCACATGGGAAACCCAGTTTTTTTTGTCTGTTCTATAGTTTGAAAGTTTTTCCCTAAAGGGACAGAATGGAGGTTCCCTGAGTGGTATGGAGGAAAGAGCAACAGAAGTTTTCAAATACGCTCAGTCCACATTATATATTGGGCATAATAATTATAACAATGTCAATTAGTTAATGCACAACATTAATTTTCACTGCAGTAATTATTGTGTATTGTGCCCCTTCTGTGCCAAGTGATGTGACTGTTTATCTCTAACAGCCCTGTGAGCTAGACATCATTATCATCCCCATATTACAGATGAGGAAACTGAGGTATAGCATGGTTAAACAACTTATCCAAAACCAAACAGCTCATCTACTATGGATACAACAAGCACCACAAAGAAGTCCTCTTCCTGTGCCCATTTCTCTTACTGTGTCATATCATGATGACAAAGTGATGCTCAAGTTCTGGGGAAGGGAAAGGGAGGGGAGAAAGGAAAGGAAGTTAACATATATATGGAACTTAGTTTATGTGCTACATGCTTGACATATGTTATCTCATTTGTCCTCACAACAGTCCTGTTAGACAGGTGCCATAATTATAACAACATATAGGTGGAAAGTAGATGCTCACAGACATTAATTGATCCATACAAGATGAAACAGGAATCAAGCCAGAAACTCTAACTATAAAACTTATTGTTACCTTGCACTTTGCTGTCCAAGCATTTAGCTCGGAGGGACGGTTCAGCATGTGGGTTGGGTCTGGGAAAAGGGTGTATTTTGGATTGAATTAAGGAAATCAAACCAAGAAACATGATATACTGCATGATCTGGGTCTTTAGCAGTCAGCTGTCACTTTCTGGACACGGCCTAGCATATGTGTCTACATACCAGGTAGACAAGTGTGGCAGTCTGCCTTCAAAGATGACAACCAACTGTTCTCCTACTCTTGTGCTGTTCCTATTTTCCTTCCTGTTGAATCTGGGCTGATCTTTGGATTTTCTTTGTTCAAAAGAATGGGATGGAAGTGCCTCAAAAGAATTGGCCATTTCTGCTTTCTTTTCTTGTCCCGAGGATAGCCGGGAAAGAGGGCTGTCCTTCTGAGACACTGGGGGAAGGTGATGGCGGTTAGCTCTCAGCTGCTCCTGCCCTCCAGCTGAGATGTCAGACAGTGAGTGAAGCCCACTTGGCTCTTGCAGGACCACTCACTCTTTCAGATCCGAGCTGCGTGAGACACTTCGATGAGTGCAGCAGAACATCACCTGGTGAGTCCAATAATTTATTTGTGAGCAAAGAAATGGATGTTGCTTGAAGCCACTTTTTTTTTTTTTGCAGTAGTTTATTATTTAGAAATACAGAAATAGGTAGGTAGACATTACTTGTTTTCTGTTTGGTTTTGGCAAAGTTTCAGAAATAGTGTTTCTGGATAGTCAAATTCCAGAAAGGTAAAATGTTTTTCATTAAAAAAAAAAATAAAAAAGTTACCTTGCACATATACAGGGAAAGAAACATCTCTGAGTGTAATGCAGTAAGGCAAAGAAAATATTAGGCAGAAAGTATGGTGGCATATGAATTTTTTAAAGGAGAACTCTAAATATAAGCATTTCCCATTGAATCAAGTTATTTGTAATTAGTTATTAAACAGGGCTATCTATCAGATCCAGTCAAGGACATATTTATCAAATGACTTATTATGTTAGAGATCTAAGTTGAGGTAATAGAAAAAGCACACTATTGAGTATCAGAAGACTGATTTTTCAACTAGCTGGTGAATCACCAAACCTCACTCAAGACTCTCAAATGTCACCATCTCTTATCCTCTGCCTTAGACAGCAATTCCTGCCCCTCCTGTCCATTACCTGGCTTCCCTTTCTAGCACTTCTATTTGCTTACTGATTTAGTGACTGTCTCTTCATTTAATATAAACTCTGCAGCGGCAAAGACTTTCTGCTTGTATGTTTAACTGCAGTGTACCTGGCACATGAAGTCTATGTAGTACACATATGCTAAAAAAATGAGACTAAATTAATTTTCTCATCTGTAAAATGGGGTAACATACACATCAATACTCTGAGCATCAACTGAGATGGTGGGTATAAAAGTTTCATAAATTTTAAGTCCAAATAGAAAAGCAAGTGATGTTACCTGCTACACTTTCCATGGTATCATTATAACAATTTACTGTTTTTAGTAGAACGCCAGATTACTCCTTCAACACTCTTCCATAGGTGAATATGGCTTAAAGAGCAGCCAATGTCCCTCTGCCTTCCTGAAGATTTTTAGATGGGACTAGAGGCAAGGCTTGATGAAACATGCCAAGGTCTGTCAATATCCAACATCTGGGCAAATGGCTGACTTCATTCTTTGGGTAAGAGAGAAAAAGGTGTCGAAAGAAAGATAAGAGATATTACATGACATAGAAAGACAGAAATACTCAGCAAGGTATAGAGTGACAGCCAGAGAGTATCAAGGAGGGGCAGATTAAGACCAGGAGAAACTGCAGTCACTCTTGTTCCTTCAAATACCAAAATAAATAAGTAAATAAATAAATCTAAAAAATTTAAAAGTACAGCTAGAGGATACAGACAAAGAGTATATATGGTTTGAAACCAGAAAACTCACTGAAATGACGAGCCACGAACTTGCAATGAAACATGTATGAATGCTTACCTGTAGTTTGGGCGCTACGGAAGCTGTGGGAGCTGCACTGTGCTCTGCAGCTCTCTCAACCACCATGAGGTAGATATCAATTATCAAGCTTACCTGGTAGGGGAGGGACTTGTAGGGGACAGGTGACTCACCTAAGGTCACACAGCTACTAAGTGGCGGACTAGATTTAGGGTTTTTTTGCACATGACTTATGCCACCAAAGGAGAGATTTTAAAAACTTGTTCACTGCTAGATAACAGGAAACTAAACCACATGCCACTGTTTGTAGGACTGTAAAATGGTACAGCCATTATGGAAAACAATATGGACATTCTTGAAAAAATTAAAAATAGAAATGCTATATGTTCTAGTATCCCACCTCTGAGTATATATCTAAAAGAACTGAGTGTAGAGCCCAGAGATAGGCATATATCCACATTCATAGTAGCACTATTCACAATAGTGAAGAGGTAAGAACAATTCAAATGTCTATTGGTGGATGAATGATAAACAAATTTTGGTATATACATACAATGGAATTTGATTCAGTTTTTAAAAAGGAAGGATATTCTGTCACATGCTTCATACAACATGGATCAACCTTAAGGGTGTACACTTAGTGAAATAACCCAATCACAGAAAGGCAAAAATTGTAAATGATTCCAGCTAACAGGAGTAGTTAGTCAAATTCAAAGAGACAAAGAGCAGGATGGTGGGCACCAGGGGCTGGGTAAGGAGGATTTGGGGAGTAGTTGTTTAAGAGCATAGTTGTTATTTTGCAACACAAAGAAGATCTGTTTCACAACAATGTGAATAAACTTAACACAGTCAAAGTGGGCACTCTGAAGGAAATGGTAAATGTTATTTTACATTTACATATTTTACCACAATAAAATAATCCACACATGCCAGAAAAAAATACCCTGAATTTTCAGCTATTTGATAGAGGAGAAAAAAGGTTACTTTTCACTGCAGAAATTAGAAATAATAATAGACCCACTGATTATTCAAGTCATACTGTTGCTTAAAATAAAACTATTTTCCTACCCCAGAGGAAGTGTTCCAACGACATCCACATTGTATGATTCTTTCAAGTTAAACCCGGCTGAAATGCCAGTTCCCATCACCACCTGAAACAGACACAAATCCAAATGTACCTTTGTAAATGAAAATTCAAACACCATAAACATGAGCTTCACAGAACGTTAGCCACCCAGATCTTTTCTCCCTGTTAACATTCAGTTTAGAACAAAAGAATAATAGTGAGTTCCTAGCAATTCTTAACTTCTTTTAAACATCTCTACCCACAAAAATGTTATTGGTCTCTATAGTTTTCCTCGTGGCCTGGATCCTTCCTCCTTACTTTCTTGTGCTCCATGCTGAGATGTTGAGTTAGCGGAAACAGAAGAGCCTTTCAGGGGCTGCCCTTGCCTTTGCAGCAGGTGAAATGAGTGGCCAAGATGGCGTGAACAAAGGATACCAAACTGTGGAGTGTGTGGTGGTACAATGACAAGTATCATTAAATATACGTTTGGATCCACAGGCCTCCTGTTGACCCATAGGATAGCAGCACCTTGTGTGGTTACAGATCCTGTACCCCACAGGTACAGGGTCAGGGTGAAACTGCATAGAATGTCATTGTACATAAGACATACATATTTTTATCATAAGGACATAAGTTTAGTTGCTGTATTCAATGCAGTTCCTGGAGAACTATAAGAAGAGAAAAATAACAGGAGAGGTAGCAATTCTTTTCATCCCAAAGAACTATTGCTATAGAACTTTGAGTGACTTAGCCACAAGAGGAGGAATTAGGGCTTGCCAGCAAAGGGAGCTAGCTTTTCACAGTGGCAGCTGCAGCAGGGAACCAATAATAAAGTGAGCTTATGGATCAGAAATTGAAGGCATGGCTGCTTCTGGCTATTTTGATGAAATGTCTCATTTTTGTTGTTCACAATCACATTTGTCACCCTTAATTACATTTATTGTACAAATCAAACTGGGAGGATGCCCGGAACATTCAGACTCAGAGGATAAGTATCGCTTAAGTACCTAGGATATCTGCTTTATGCAGTGGTAAATAATTTAAACTGTGTTTCCCCATCAACACAAACAGATGAGATAGATTATAAAACTCAAAAATATTTATTATAAATAAGAGATCTTATGTCTAAAGGAAGGTAGTCATAAAGACCCTGTTCTAAATTTTCCAGATGACTGCTCTCTCTCCCTTATTTTAAGGAGCACTGTATCATATTTTCCAGGATGAAATCTGGAGAGCCATCTCCTGGGAAACATGAAAGGCTATGTAAAGGGAATCTGGAAAATGGACAGTACCAGTAACACAGCCAGGAAAGGCAAAGTTCACATTTACTTCCTACTTAGGGTTCGCTTTGCATTCCTGCAAAGGAGTTGGGAGCCTTTTGCAGTTCTCCAAGAGGAAATAGGATCCCAATGAGAGAGCAGGTTTTGAAACTGCCAGAGATAGTCCTGTTGGGATGTAGACAAAACCAAAGCAAGGAAAAAGATCAAAGGGAGTGTCTTTCTGTAAGCTATAACAGCTGGTTATTTTTATCCCTAGAAAATTTTTGCTACATGTGGATCAGACATCTCTATACTTAGGGTTCCAAATTATGCAGTCTAGGGAAACTTACCAGGATACTGGGCTATAACTTTCAAGGGAGACAGTGACATCTATCACATACTCTGCAAATTTCTAATTGGAGGTAGTTCACTGTTTCAACATCAGTTCCCACTACCTTATTTTCCATCATGCCATATATTTGCACAGTGGGTTTTCAGTGGGTGGTGAGTAACAAGCAGGTATATGCACACATGAAAGTGAATTAGAAGATAGTGGTGTCCAGCAGATTTAAAGGCTGGAGGAGTTATGAAGTACCTACCAGCCACATACATCCCATTAATAAATAATAGGGTTATTTAAGGATGTAATGAAATGGATTTTATTTTAATGACAAAGCACATTTTACCTCAATTAATGTGCATTAATTTTACAAAGAGCTCCTATGTTGTGAGACATAAATAAGTATTAAGTTGATCAGACCTCACTGCTTAGTAGATGGAAAGGACGGGTATTTATTTTGGCCTTACAGTGGCAAAAACCAAAAGTATTGGAAACTTTGTTTTTTTTTCTTTTCAAAATGGAGACAGCTTATTTTTTCCAGGTTATTAAAAATATGTAATCATATAAAACAATTAGGCAAGAAAATTTTTGAAGAAGAAAATTTTCCACAATCCCATTCATGGGATTTTTTTACACAGTTCTCAAAACCTAAGAAATTAAGCACATCTATCAAACAAGGTAATTTTTTGTTCAAATTTTAGTTCATCCTTACTGATCAACACATTATCTTATTTTCAAATACCATTTAGAATTTTAAACAAATGTTACATTAATGGGATTCATCATCTGATTCTAATTCATTCAGAATCTTTGGGGGGGGGAGGTGACAAAAGGTGCCTTAGGCACTAATTAGGAAAGAGAAAAGATAACCTCCCAGTCCTACTAAATGACCTTGTGGTGTGTCTAAGTTGTTGCCTTTCCCCTAGCAGCTCAAATCAAGCCATTCCTCTAACATGTGGCAAGTCAAACTCTAACAGAACAGTTGCTCTAACTTACATTAATTCCTATATATAGCTCACCTTTTTGAGATTGGTCACCCATTTCTCATATATCTATGTAGGAGGGGAAAAGCTAGGGGATGCACTGAATTTAATTGCCATTTTCAGGCTATTTCCTTCTCCCTTCTAACTGAGCAGTAATAGCAACTTTCTACAGAAAGGCTGGAGTTCGTGTCACCTTATATATGGCCTCACCCGTTTAGCCAGCAAACCGACTTGTTCCAGCGGATGTACCCTAATGCTAAATTAGCAGTAATTTATCAGTTGAAGGAATCTAAAAAAATACTTCAGTATTAAGTCAAACACTTCCAAATTCTTTGACAAAGAAAAGCAGTCAAATAATAATGCTATAGTCATTTACAAGAAGTCTATCAAAAAGCATTTTCTTCTGAAGTTGAAGAAATTCTAGCAACCAATATAGACTTGTCAATCAGCAAATGTCAGTATTCAATGCAATTACTAACTACTCATGTATACTTTGAAAGTCTATATTTATGTTTACTAATCATGGAATATGAAAAATAACCTAGTCCTAGATTTTAATCATTTAGAGATAATTTCAATGTTTTTATGGACCACCTTTACCTATATTTTAAAAATATTCCATGTCCATTTTTTTTTAACAATTTTTGTTTTTGCCAGTATATTTGCCCCCTTCATAAATTCTGTTCTTTTGGCAGAATGCAAGTACAAAAGATCTAGATCCCTGTCCACTTTTGAACCCCTGACAGAAATAGCCAGGCCAAAAGCTGACTTACCGCAAAGAACTCTAAAGGAATGGGTGCCGGCAATTTTTCTTTAAATCTCTCATTAAACTCTTTGCCACCCAACAGCAAACCAAAAACCATCAGCCCGACGCCTAGGGAACACACGTTGAGGTTTTTAACATTCTGCAACACAGCAACTGTACTCTGTAACACAGTGAATACTGGATGTTACATCAAGAAATAGCCCCAAGTAGGCAGAGACACTCCATTGCACTGATTCACACCAGTCACCCCATTATTGAACGTTTCTACTAAAAAGTTCTCAGGCTGACATCATTTGTAGCCTTCACCAAGTAGGAGGCATTTTAGCTCAGTCACATAACTTTATTGTTATAATTTTCACCTAAACTGTTAGTGTTTTCATTATATTACTGTCTCAATGGGGTATAATAAAATTCAGAGAAGTAAACTGTAGGCTGAGTACTGAGCAGGAGCAATGGATGAGGGGGAGCAATGGATTATCAGCAAAAATAATCCAAAGGCGGCCCTCCCTGGTGGCACAATGGGTTAAAGAACAGCACTGTGAAGCAAGCTGCAGCCGCTTCAGCATGAGTTCGATCCCTGACCCCGGAGGTGACCCACATGGCGCAGCAGACCTCTCCTGTCTTCCCTGCTGCTCCCCTTAGCAGTGTACTTTGTTGATCTGCCTGTTCTGCTCCCCGCTCTGTCTCTGGTGAAGCCTCTCACCAACCCTGCACCTTTAGCCTGTACCCCAGTTCTATATGCACAAATAAATAAATTAAAAAATATCCAAAGGTGGAGTGGGGAATGGGATCAAAAATTAGGGGGAGGGAAGAACACTAAACTATGGTGATGGCACACAGGTGATTTGGTGATGGGAAACCCCCGGGGATTACAACTGAGATGGAAAAAGGCACAAAATGATGTAAAAGTAAACTATTATATTATTTTTAAAAATCCAAAGGACAAACAACCATATACCAGAGACATTTTGTGGGGGTGGAGTGGGGAATGGGACCAAAAACGGGGTGGGGGGAGGGAAATGCACAGGATTATGGTGATGGCACATGGGTGACTTGGTGATGGGAAACCTGCGGGGATTACAATTGAGATGGAAAAAAAAATGTACAAAATGATGTAAAAATAAACTTTTGTAAAAAATAAAAAAAAAGATAAAAAAAATCCAAAGGACAGACAGAAAAGCTTTTAGATGCTAAAAGAGAGAGAAATCTCTCTTTTTGCTTTGGTCTACTTGAATAAGCAATTTTTGAGGGAGAGTTATCTTTAAATTATTTGTTAGTTCCCAATGAGAATGATTTTTGTCTTAAGAAAAAACTCCCTCTTCAGCTAATCAGGGTGAAGATGCATTTGTGAAGTAAAGATCTAACAAAAATTCACTGGGAGGAATTATGCACCACATATTTCTAAAATGGGACTTAATGATTTAATTCTTCTTACTGAGCTCTTTTCAGAAAAGCCCTAGAGTAACTGAATGTTTTCTTCTTTATTGAAAATCTTGGTAAAATAAAAAGTGAACCTTGATGGCAACAGGGACACAGAAGAGAACTGAAGGGAAGGAAGGGAGAAAAGGAAAAGCAGAGGCCTCTTTGGTGGCACACAGGGGTTAAAGACAAGGAGCTGACCCACAGGGTGTGGCAGACCTCTGCTGTCTGCCCGCTGCTCCCCTCAGCAGTGTACTTTGTCCATCTGCCTGTTCTGCTCCCCACTCTGTCTCTGGTGAAGCCTCTCATCCCCCACCCCTACACCTCTAGTCTACACCCAGTTTTTGTATGAATAAATAATTCTTTAAAAAAAGGAAAAGGAAAAACAGAGTTAGTAAGTCAGGAAGTTGTTTACTTACATACACCACTGAAAAGATTCCACTGTACCGCTTTGTTTTAACTCCAAACAGGTACTTTAACATGGAGGTGAAGACGTGAACAGCTGCCGCGGTGGTAAACCCCCGGACCAGGGGCTCTGTGAGATAGATGGCTACGAATCCAAACCTACAAACACCTAGGCAAAACTTTTTTTTTTTAATGACAAAGAAACAAATCACATGATAGATCAGGGAGTTGAAACCAAGAGAAAACATGCAAAGTTTTTTTCTGGATCAGTTTCTAACAGTACAAACTTGTACCTGCAACAACTAACTTGCTAACATTCAATCACTGGTGATACAGAGAATGAGGAAGGTTCGGAGTGGCTGGAGCCCCAGAGGGCACTGGCCACAGCAGGGCCCTCCCTGTCCTGAGGAACTGGTCACGTCTAGTCACATCACTACTTGTTTCTGCCAAGCAGAAAAAGATGCCTTTTCCCATTACTAAGCAACCCTGCTTCAAGTTTTTCTTGCTTTGGGGATCTCTACCCAAATAAAGCAAGTTACTAGTCAATATCACTTTATTATCATTATTATTATTATTACAAATACCATTTTAAAGAAGCATGCAGTCACTGGCCTTCCTGAGTCCTCCTAAGAGTTATGAACCCTGCCTCTGGATTTTTGCTGGCTGATTCTGCCCACCGTGCAGTGGACCAGTCAAGAGGACAAAACAGGTATTTGCTAAATAAACGATCCTGAGCCAATGATCGCGAGCCCTATACCCATCTGTGAGTTTTACCTGAATGATTCCTGAAAGTAAGGTCACAGACATGGCGACTTTCACTCTCAAGGCATCTCTTGCTTCTGTACCATTGGTTGTATTTACTCCTCCCGGAATGACTATATCATCTGGTACTAATCGAACAGCCACACCACCAATCATGAGACTAATAACTGCAAACGGACCTGAAACGATGAAGCATTAATCAAGGAAACCGTTGTTAGTGCATCTGAAGTTGTTGCTAGTATGGCAAAGACACAGCTAAAGTCAGTAAATCACCATCCAACTGAAAGAGCTCCGCTCTCCTTAAGCATTCTGCTCCTGGCTTATGTTTAACTGTAGGTGCACTGGCTATGATCTACAAAAATGACCATCCCATTTCACTCATAGCAGGAGTATAATGGACCAGGTGAGAAAATAATAATAATAATGAACAGCTATATGCCAGAGACATTTGGTGAGGGTGGAGTGGGGAATGGGATCAAAAAGGCAGAGGGGAGGAAGTACACTGGACTCTGGTGATGGCACAAGGGTGATTTGGTGATGGGAAGCCCATGGGGATTACAACTGAGATGGAAAAAATGCACAAAATGATGTAAAAATAAACTCATATTATTAAAAAAAAATGACCATCCTACATATTCTTCTAGAATCTCAACATTTCCTTGTTAGGAGATAGTTTAATTCCTCTGAGTGGATTTGTGACTAGCTAGTAAACAAAAGAATACAGCAGAAGAAACTGTGACTTCTTGGGCTAGGAAACAAAGATGATACAGCTTCCACCGGAGAGACAGAGCCCCCCATTTGGGAGAGAGCTCCAGTTAGGACCACTGGAAAGATGCAGAGAGAGGGCAGGAGGAGGAAAAAATGGAGGGGAGGAGAGCAGTAGGAGGATGGGGAGAGGGAAAGAGAAGGAAAGGGGAGAGAGAGCTTTAGCTCCCTTCTAACTGCTCCGGCGTCAGCTCCTGACTCTCCACTACTTGACCCAGGCTCACTTAGAGGAATAACCCACAGGAACCATGAGAGATAATGAAATAATCGTTTTAAGATTCAACCTTTGGGAATATTTGTTAGCAGCAATTAGTTAACTGGTAGCAGGCTTTTGCAGCACCAACACCATTATGAAATCCATATGAATCCACTATTAAACAGCCACGTACAATTCAGAGCCTACAATAGGATGAAAATACAATATATGCTTAGAAATTAGGAACTCACAGTACCACTTAATAACAAATAAAAAGAAAGCCAGATGGAGAAGAATTGTAATAAGAACTGAAATATGTATTTCCCAGATTTTCACAATTGTTCTTTTACACAAGACACATAAAATTTCACTCCCATAACTATAAGAAAGCTGTGAGTTCCAGAAATCCTGGGGGCAGAAAATGTCTTTTGAAGCACCTACTAGCATACAGTAACAAAAGTCATCACAAAACAGGTGTTCTCATAACTACTATGCTATTTCTTTGCCACAATGCAAAGCTTGGAAGGAAATATACCCAAAGACTGAGTATAAGCCTTTACCTATGGATATATGTCTGGAGGTTCCCAGGAAACAGTACATGATAACAGGATAAAACGAAGAGTACAGACCAAACACTGGCGGAACCGCTGCCAACATTGCAAAGGCTAGACCTGTGGGATCAAAACCAACAGAAAAGGGCAGCTCATTAGAAAACAGATGTTTACATATATACTTTTCTCTAGGTTCTTTATCTCTGCCGAACAAGTGAAAGTCATGTAAACAAGTAAAATTTAAGCTGATTTACTTAAATCTGTCTGCCTTCTGCCCTAATCCTACAAGTACTCCTGCATGGGTACCTGGAGAGTCCAGTGTGAGTCTTCCTTGCATCTCTCCTTTGCCAGGGGGTGCAGTTTTAATCTGCTATTGATGCCCAAATGCTGGCTGTTCTTCTAATGCAGTGCTTTTTGTGGGTTGTTAGAAGCCACCTTTAAGGGGATCTCCCACTGTACGAGTCTCAGCCAATACTTGTAATGCCCCTTACAACTCCAGGCCCTTATACTTCTTCCCAGTTCCTTCTGGGGGCATACGCTCATTCTGTAGGCAGATTCTGTGGGCAGGTACATTCAAATGGGCCAACTCTGGTTATCTGTGCCCCCTGAGGGCTTTCTCATCACACTGTTGTGGACTGTTCATAACACAACCTTTTGCCTATAGATTTTTTTCTCCTCTTGAAAGAATTAGGCAACAGTGCCCCAAACTCCAGGCGACACAAGTCCAGTGTTCTGAGAAGCTCCTTTGGAGGCTTGGCTTACTTTAAGTTTCGGTTGAGGGGATATTTCCTCTCTGCAAAATCGTCTTTCCAAATCTTAAATCAATCTTCTTGCCTCCTTACATATCCTGATGAAGTGATACACTAGAGAGGGTGGTATCATTCACTATTAGTTTCACACAGATGGCCTGGCATCCCTCTTCAGAATGTGGAGGCAACAAACACCTTTCATTCTTTGTTTGAGCTCAAACAAATTTCTGGGACAACCAGAAAGACCCTTCAATGTGTGTTATGTTGTGAAGAAAAACATTTTAGCAAAAGAAAAGGTAAGAAAGCATCTCTATTTTGGACCTCCCTGGTGGTGCAGTGTTAAAGCACAGCACTAAGAAGCTAAAGCCATTTCAGCATGAGTTCGATCTCCGCCCCAGGGGTAATCCCACATGGCGTGGCAGACCTCTCCTGACCCGCCTGCTGCTTCCCTCAGAGTGTACTTGTCAGTTTGCCTGTTCTGTACCCTACTCTGTCTGTGGTTAGTCTTCTCACTGCTCCTGCACCTCTGGCTTGTACCCCAGCTCTGTATGCATAAATAAATCTTAAAAAAAAAAAAAAGAAAGCATCCCTATTTCATAGGTAAATTATAGTAAATTAATGAATTTTCTTAAATTCGAATATCACAGAGAAGTCATACAGATGCAGAGGAATTCAATATGTAATGGCCCTTATAATCAGAATATCAATTATAAGTCAAGATACCCCCTCAGCAATCTGTTCACTAACAACTGAGTAACTTAGCAAGAGGTAAAGCAATGTCCAGTTAGTTCCTAAATATGTCTGCAAAATAGCCACCATGTTTTATTACTCATATCTCTGGGGCTTCTAAAAGGTGAGTGTTTATGAAGAGTTTCTCTCTACAGCTAAAACATACTAGAATGATATAAAATCTGATTTTACCACCAGAGTGAAACTGAACAGAAAAATAACAAGAAATTGTCTCAGAAGAAGGTGGTAAGGAAATGAAAGAATACACTCTACTGACCTTGAGGAAGCTGAAGCACACCCGTGCTGATGCCAGATACCAAGTCACCCAGCACATATTCCTTGAACTTGTATGCTGGCAACCACTTCGTTATGGGTAGGAACATATAAATGATATTTCTTATTTTCTTAGGAGTACATCTAAGGGGACAGAGAAAGAGAAAAAAATGAAGAGTATTTCTGTAAAACTCACAACACACTCCCCCTTTCTCATATCTTTAGTAATAATGAAAAATTCAACAATTAATGTTGAACATGACCTTTCCCATCTGCACAGATCAGAGACAAGAAAAACTGCTGCTTGCAGTTATATTTTGTAATGGGAAAATCTCAATTGGGGCCATAATAATGCTTTATAACTGATCATGAAAAAACTTATCTTCAAAATAAATGAAATACATTAGAAGTTATTATTATTATTATTATTATTATTTAAAGATTTATTTGCACATACAGAACTGGGGTATAGGCCAGAGGTGCAGGGGCGGTGAGAAGCTTCACCAGAGATAGAGTGGGGAGCAGAATAGACAGATTGACGAAGTACACTGCTGAGGGGAGCAGCGGGCGCGTCAGGAGAGGTCTGCCTCGCCATGTGGTCACCTCCGGGGCAGGCGGGGATTGAACTCATGCGGAAATGGCTTTAGCTTCTTGGTGCTGTGCTTTTACCTGCTGCGCCACCAGGGAGGGCCCAGAAGTTATTATTTTTTATAAAGATTTATTTACTTATGCATGCAGAACTGCAGTACAGGCCGGAAGTGCAGGGGCGGCAAGAGGCTTCACCAGAGACAGAGAGTGGGGAGCAGAACACGCAGATGGAAGAAGTACACTGCTGAGGGGAGCAGCAGGTGGGTCAGGAGAGGTCTGCAGCGCCATGTGGTTACCTCGGGGCAGGGGTCCACTTGTGCTGAAGTGGCTTTAGCTTGTTAGTGCAGTGCTTTACCCACTGAGCCACCAGGGAAGGCCCAGAAGTTATTATTTTAACAAATGAAATCCTTAATACTTTCTGTGCTAATGTGAAAGTGAAGCAAGGTAGCTATTTATTGATTGGGTTAAGTTCTGAATGTGGAACAACTGACTAGCATTTGCCCATTTACTTTTCTCCTTCCTTCCAAACTTGGAGGACTGTATCCAGTATTATGAGCTTCATAAACACATGTTCAATGCTTTTGGGTCTTTAATTAGGTAAACTTAAAACACCATTTGTTAAAACACCATTTGTCATTGAAGTGTAATAGTTATGCCTACTTCTGGTTGTCTTGGTTATGGGTGGGGACATAATCAATTCTATGCTGATAAAGACACAGTCTTGCAATTGACCCCTTAATGGCCCAATTAACACTGAAACATACACTATGTTCTGGGTCTTGGCCAGTTCTCTTGCCAGTCTATGCCAATAATCAAAGACAGCAGTGAGTAAGAGGATGGGCAGAGTAACTCGTGTCTCTTTTGATGATCATACTTGGAGCATTGGGCCACTGAGAAGTAGTAAACACGGGGCAGAGGTGTGGAAAGTGGCACATCTCAGGTGGCTTGAAGTGTGGGAACTATCAATAGTACACATGAATCAACATTCCCCAGCATGCAATGGCTGTGTCTCTAACAGGAACACTCAGGGGGCATTATGAATCTTGACAACTTAGGTTGGGGACTTAAAGTCAGGGTGGCACTAAATGGGACAGAAGTTAGGTAGAGAGAGTTGGTGGAACAATCCTGAGAGAGAAAGTGAAGAGGTACGCGTTCTGAAGATAGGCAGAACATTTGGAAGCAGGTTGTTTATATAAACTTTATGTAGACGTTAAGATATACCGGAAATGGAGTAAGTTAGATGTGTCATGGAGCTCACGGTCAGTCCAGTAGGATCACTAATTGTGTGGATAGATCTGACAATCATGAATGCACACCATTTTTTTTTTTCTCCACTTCACCTATTTTCTCTATGTTGACCTTGCTTCTCCCATAACTGAATGATGGAAATAAGTTAGAACACAACATACGTGAATGCCTGTTTCAGCTTGTCCCCAATGGAATCTGAAACCTTGTCCTTCTTGTGCAGTCTTTCCTGGAGCACTGGGTGACTAAAGATGGGTCTTTCCACATAGTACTTCTGGGTTGCTGCAGGGATTTCATTTTCTTCAGCATGATCCATAGTACTCTGAGGTTATTATCAACAGCAGGAGACAAGCATTTCTTGAGTGTCACTAAGGGAGAAAATAAAAACTCTATTTCAGATGCTGAACTCCCACTGATGATGGTCCCAAAGCATCTTTTCCTTATACTATTTTATTTTAACTTATTTATTCTATGTCCTTCTGACAACTTCTTCACTGTTGGACCTAACAGAGTGTTGTGTACATAGCAGGCTGTTGGGACCAGCATCAACAAGCTGTCAGGGAACAGAGCAGGGCCTCTTTAGGTGGGAGTGGTGTTGGCATGCAGAGATTCCAAGAAGGGGAAAAGGGGAGCGGAAGTGAGGAAGACTCCGGAGTTGGGTGCAAGTCTTCCTGCCCATCCTCCATCCTTTTTTTTTTTTGAGATATATTTATTTGTGCATACAGAACTGGGGTACAGGCCAGAGGTGTAGGGGCGGTGAGAGGATTCACCAGAGTGGGGAGCAGAATAGGCTGACTGATGAAGTACACTGCTGAGGGGAGCTGCAGGCGGGCCAGGAGAGGCCTGCCGTGCCATGTGGGTCACTTCCGGGGCAGGCGGGATCGAACTCATAAGGAAGTGGCTTCAGCTTCTTAGTGCTGTGCTTTAACTCGTTGCGCCACCAGGGAGGGCCCCCTCCCCATCTTTTAGCAGGTCTTTATTTTATCCTGTATAGCAAATAGTTAATTACAATAATGCATAAGGTAAGTTAATAAGAAATCAGCATAAAATTTTTCAAGGAAGAGAACAACGCATCCTCTTCCTGACACTTTATGGCATACTAGACTATACACATTTGTGATAAATTTCATGTATATGAATGTTTAACTATGACTCAAAGGACAAGTGGTCTGGGAAAGGATGAGCTGTTAGCATAGGATTTAGGGGTCCTAGGGAAGGAATAGATTGTGTCAGCAGAGTCATCAGTGATTGTCTAAAGATAAGCTAATGGCTAACTTAAGGTGAGTAGAGAGTAGTTTGTGTTTGTTTTAGGTAAATTAAGACTAAAGGATTGTTAAAGAAAAGGGTAAATAAGAGGAAGTCACACAGGCATGCATTAAGCAAAACCTGTATCAATAATGTTAGGAAATTGTCCATGAGTCCTTATGCACTGGGAGTTTTATCAGAGGTTTGCTTTTTGTTTCAAAAGCCTGAAGAAGCTTCCCAGGAGTCTTGATGCTCTGAGGGGTCTTATCTTACCTGGAGCTTGCCTTTTGTCTCTGGAGACAGAATTTCCTGCCCTAGGTGGCTCATACTTTGCCCTGGCCAGGTAGCCAATTTAAAAGCTAAGGCAATCCAGGTGCAAGCTGATGGTTGCTCCGAATATTTTGGATATTATAATTATACAAAAAAGGGAGGTCATAACATAAACTAGCAATTGAAATCCTGATTTCTCATCGCTTTTCCCTTCCATCTGGAATTTGTCAGTTGACAGAAGTTGCATAGCTTGTGTCATCAGCCACTAATAAACAAAACGAAATAAAAATCAACAAAAAAGAATGTAACTTATTGCCTCTGAAGGTAATAAATGGGTGATGTGTACACTCCTAACAAAAGGTTATATTAAATCAGAGCTAACTATTGCAGTTGGTTGGCCCTGAGTTCATATTAGGAGAATTGTAAATCAGGTCAACTGATGATTTACATTATCAAGGAAACAGGAAAAAGAGGTAAGATCGGTCCTTAAATTGACAGACTCTTGAAGGTATATTAGTCTCCTTTCCAATTCTGTATTCTTACTTGATTACTCCTTATTCATCAATTGGGAGCTAAAACTTCCCTAATGACTTTTGTGAAAGGATACGATTTAAAAACCTGAATGCAATATTTAAAAAAAATTGACTATGTTGTCATATCTAAGACAATTGGAATTTTGTTTTAATTTTATTTTTTGCTATCTATTGAATACTAATTTGAGTTGAAGAAATGACTAAGAAATAAAGAACCAGTATACTTCTGTACATGGAAGTTCTGTACATGAGAATGGTCACTGCAGTTTTATAACAGTGAAGAACTTGAAACACATCGTCTTCTTGTTTGCAATGAAAAATAAAATATGGTATAGTCATAAATTGAATGCTATATAATAGCCTTAAAAAGTGGACTAAACTTTTGTGTCATCAATAAATCTCAAAACTTAATTTTCAATTAACATGCAAGGCATAGATGGATACTTCAAGGGTGTAATTCTTTAAACAAAATTTAAAAACTTATAAGCAATAATACATTGTTTATGGACACATGTAGTAAACATATACAATATCTATAACAAAACTAAACACTAAGATGGGGATAGCAACATCGCTGGAAAGAAGGGGGATAAAACTTGGAGAGAAAAGGAGCATCAACCAACTATACCTCCAACTTTCTCTTTTGTAAAAGCACAAATAAACAAATAAACAAATGTTAAGATTTGATTAAGCTGTGTAAATAAACTGGTGTTTGTTAACATTATTTTTTGTGCATGTGAATGAGGTACTTGTAGTCAAAAAATTAACTCATAGTACCAACTAAATCCAGTGTTTCCAAGTGAAGAAAGTTAATAAGTGATACAGATGTGGGGTTTTAGTATGATTAGCAGTTAGTTAACTGCCTCTTCAGGGGATTGCTGCTGTTGGTCAAGATACTCTCTTATGGTGAAAAGTCTTTTAACCAAACTGAAATTATATTCAACTTGAAATCTCTTGTGTGATCAGCCACAAACCAGCAAATAAAGAAATGCCTGTGTCCAAGGAAGTTGAAAATACAAGTGCCTGGAATAAAAACAGATTCTATCTACAGCAGCAAATGCAACTGAATGCCATAGGGATGATAGGTAAGTCTGGAAAAGGGATTTTGCAGTAGAAACCAAGAAGTAAAGATTGTATGTCTGTCTTTTTAGGGTTAGTAAGGCTGGCTGACAATCTCATCTCACTTCTCGTGGTCACTTTCGGAACTATCATGATAGCAGGGATGTCTGGGTGGATGGATGTGAGGGGAATTTGACACAAGGAACAGCATCACTCTGCCTTCCACCTACTCCCAACTGTCCAGAACATTATCGACAACATCATAGAACCATATGTAATTCTAATAAAATACTATAATGCTTTAAGATATTTCTTTCTCCTCCCTCTTTCCACTTTTCCTACACCCTACTGTATCTTTCAAAGACGGATTTTGTCCTTTGCTACTCTGAAGTCTCATCCCTTCGTACATTTATACTCTAAACTTTGTCTAATTTTCCATTTCCTTCCCACTGTCTTGGAATCATTGGTTTCCTCTTACAGACTGTAAGTTCCTGGAGGCAATATGCTCCCTTGTCTCTTAGCAGGTGAGGAATAACTGAAGAATGAATGAAATTCTTTGGATTGGAACAACATAGTTGTTGATAGTGTATGCTGTGTTTCTTCTGTTACTTATCATTATAGAAGATTAAGCCGAATTTAAAATTGTATTAGTTTTTTTTTTTCTGATGCTTGTTCTTGGGTATACTGCCCTAGTTCAGAAAGATAACACCTTCCTTTATAGTCACTTTAAGAGAATAACACCAGAGAGATGTGAGGGAGATCTAATAAGAATTGAGCTCTATTTCCTCCCTCCTCCTGTCCCTGTTGCAAAAACCCAGTTTTACCATTGACATTGCTGTTACCCTGCAAGAATTTGCTCCTTTATCTTGGGATGAATTGTGATGTGCAATGTCTGGTGTGCAGTGTCTAGTGATGTTCAATCATCTATAAGGCAGGAAGGCCAGACCCCATGAATCACCACAATGGCGTGGGGAAGGCTGTGAGGCATAGATTCTGAACCTCCTGGGTTAGGATTTTCAAGGGCGGGGCTGGACCATGACAATTCACTCTGTGGATGAGGACATGCATCCCTGTACCCATGTGTGCTGGCCTTCTCTTCATATTTCAGAGCAACAGAATAGATTTACATAGAAGTATAGCAGAGAAAATAAAACACTGCTAACTTAGACAGTCTTATCCTTATTCTCAAAGGGCCTCTGGCTATGCCTGATAAGAATCCCTCCTTTACACCCCTACTCTGAAGGCTGTTTGGCACCTCCTCATCTCCTCCTAGAAGCTCACAATTCCTTCTACTTCATTAATCATGGCGATTGTGTTTTAAAAGTTTCCCAGGAGATTGAAATGATCAGCTAGGTAGGTGTTTGGCATTAAAAAAAAAAAAAAAAAAAAAAAACTCTGGCTTTTAATGCTAGTTAAACCTGGAATGCTTAGGTGTTTTTAGAAAACCATAATGCTTGGGCTCCTCACCAGACCAATTAGTGCAAAGCCTCTAGGAGATGAGGCCCAGGAATTTTGTCCAAGCATCCTGAGATGATTCTAATGAGTAGAGTTAGGAACCACTGATTTATAACCTAAGAGAAAGAGAAATAACTGAAAAAATATAAAAAGCCACAAAAAATATTTGAAAATGAAATCCAATTACATGGTTTTTTTTGTAATTAATAAGTCAGTTACATGATTAAAGCTAGAAGAGATCTTTTTAAAAGTAAACTTGATAACATAAAACAATAGAACATAATAAGTATAATGTGCTGGCTGAAAGTACATGAAATAAGCTTTAAAGAGGAGAGGATTAGAAAAATTAAGGACATGACTTAGCAGTAAAGTTCTTTTTTGAATTTGACATTTTTATTCAGGGCTTTGGTTCTTAGCCCTGGCTGCAGAGTGGGATTACCTGGGCAGTTTGCACTACCACTGATGCCTGACTGTACTGCCAGAGATTTAGATTTAATTGGTCTGGAAAGCAGGCAGGAATTCAGCCTTTAAAAAGTTTATCAGGTTGATTTTTATGTACAGCCAGATTCAAAACCACTGATTTAGGGCATGACATTAAAAACACTTAGACCCACCTCCCCAGCCAATGGAAAAGGGAAAAAAAACTGAACAGCATGTAGACTGTGCAATGCATTTAATTGTTGGATTTACTTAAGCTTCTTTGAAATACTTAATAACACCACAAAAGAGAAATATCTAGCTAGCTCAGGCTTAGAAACTCTTGCTTCTATTCCTAAATTCTCATAGCAAAAGGGAGCTCTGTGTAG